CTACCGGAAGATCCCTCAAAGAAAGGCTGTCAAAACACCAGAGAAACATAAGAAGTGGACAGCCATGCACAGCGCTGGCAACTTATGTCTTAGCTGACCCTCAAGGTTAAAGCTGAATGGGACCGAGCTAGATTGATACAAATAGTTTGCGACAAAAAGCACCTCCGGTACGCTGAAGCCTGGCATATCTGCAAAACCAGCCAAAAAGGATTAGCTATCAACTTCCAAGATGCAAGCAAAGTATCGGCAGCCTGGTGAGCAAGTATATTATAAGCGGCAGGAACAATGGCAAAGCAGCAACTTACTTAAGGACTCTTAAACTAATGTATTTGCACATCACATTGTTTATGTTTGGTATTTTATGTTATTTTATATCTTGAACGTCATACTTTTTAACATTCTAATAGCTACTGTGGTTACATAATGACATCCTTTATGTAGAGATGGCACTCTTTATTCCTGTAGAATATCCTTTTAAAAACGTTTCAAAACGCTTGTATCGTTAATTCAAATTTTAGAGTTAGGAGTTTGATTTTTCTTTTTTTCGTTTATTCTTGAAAAAGGTCATTGAATATGACTGAAAACGTTGGAATTCTTGAAATTCTTGACTGACAAAAGGTGTGCCATTATCTGATACAATAGTATCAGTTATGTCATGTATGGAGAATAGATCACATAGCACAATGATGATTATTGTAGATATTGTAGAATTGACAACTTTACTTCTGGCCAATTGGCGAATGATTCGACCAGTACAAAATGCATTTTTCTTTTAAACAGATCTGTTAGATCTATGTGTAAAGACCAGGGTCTAGAAGACCAGATTTACAGGTGAGGAGGTTGTAACGACTCAAAATTTCGAAACAAAAGAGGTGCTGAGGTCTTCGTCTTTGTTCATTCATATTTTGTTGTATTCATACCAACATGTTAATAAAGGTGTTTGTACAGAAAAGAACCTGCCAAGAGCGGTTAGCTCTGAGTATTATTTGTACATTGTTATTGGCATCCATGACAGGATAAAACAAGGTAAAGGTGCTTATATTTCAATATTTGAAATGATTTATACAACAATAAACTGTTTTTGAGCAGTACTATGAATCATTTGAAAATACAATGGACCACTTTATGGATTTCTTTTATGAAGACTGTGAATATTTTGAAAATGAAATTCTAAAAATGGCAATAGATAAAGAAAGGCCTTCTAGGCGATAAGTTAGTCAAATTAGATAGTTTAATGGGAGAAGTAAAAGAGCTAGACTGCAGAATAATGGATGCCATGTTGGACGAAGATTTGTCCGAAGACATTTTGTTAGCAGAATTAGAAGATACAGAGAAGTACTTTGACAGTTATATAACAATGAAATACATAGTGACTGAAAAATTAGGAGTTTTATACCAATTTTTGGATATTAAGTCAGTTCATAGTTCTGCTAGTTCTGCAACTAAAAGTAAGTGTTATAAACTCCCAAAAACTGAAATTAAGAAATTCAATGGTGAATTGATTAATTGGCTTCCAGTCACATTGAATTTTTGTGGAAATCTCCATGAAAGCAAAGAATGCCTCAATGTAAAGTGAAAGACTTAGAAGAAAAATTGGCAAAGGTGCATGAGGATTCTGCTTGAAATGTCTTAAAACAAAACACATCACAAAGAGATTCAAGTCATTTGATGTTATGTTTGTTCCAAAGGGCATCTGGTTCTTCTTTGTTCAGAATTACGAGCTCATGAGATAAGGGCCAAGGAGGAACAGCCATTTCATAGTGTCAGTTCATAGTGGTATTGCAAGTCAAGAGACCATTAACAAAATAATGCTTAGACTGTAAAGATAGAAATTCGAAATAACAAACCATCAAACATAGTTTGTGCAATTTTAAATTGTGGTTCTCAGAAGTCATATCTTGGAATCTACAGTGAAATAACTAGGATTATAACTTACTTCTATTGTCAGTGTTGCACACACTTTGTTTGGAGGTGTGCAAACTAAAACCAAGCCACATAATAAGTATAGTGTTGAATTATGTTCAATCACTCATATGTCACACAAGTCATATGCATGGATAATGAGATTTAAAAAATGCATGTCAAGTATCCTTGAGATCTACAGAAGGAACATTATCAGTAGATGAACTTAGGAAAGCAGAAAGTCATCTTTGGCATATTGTACTGTGCTTTTTTGGGTTGTTGTTGCTTTTATCTTTCGTCGCTTTGTGTGAAAGAAACGAACGAGATGAGATCGTAACAAAAACTAAACTTTTATTGTCCTTCTCGCGTACTTGGTACAGCATGTCTCGACGACGCGGCTAACAAAGACAACTGGTGGTCGACGGTCTTTGTGGGGTGAGTTTGAATTTATTCCGGGAAGTGATGACTCATACACCCAGGGGTAATTGCTTGTATTTTACAACCGTTAAGGGTACAGATGTGAAGGGCGGCGTTCGCCACAGATTATCCCCCAGTGACGGACGAGCGATAAATTGATGTCGAACGAGTTGCTTAACGTTACATTATGGTGACTAGTCTTTTAGGAAAATGAACATGACGGCCTGATCTAGTTGTGATGGTTTGATCTTCTCTAGAGGTAGTTTCCAGGTTTTTGTTGTTCGCTGTTGCTGATGACAGTGGTGTCTGCGATGGACTTGACTGGATGGGTTTGAAAATAGATTCCTGGGGTGATTCGTCCTGTAAGATATACACTGGTTTTACTCTGTCAATGGAGATGGTTGATTTGCGACCTTGGATGTCAATTACTAGTGTTTTGTCATGTTTTTCTAGCACTTTGTATGGGCCTGAGTAAGGCTGGCAGAGAGGAGGTCGATTTGCGTCGAATCTTAAGAAAACATGTGTACATTCCTTTAGCTCTGGATGAGTGAAAATTTTCTGTGTGGAATGACTGGAAGTTGCTAACAGTTTCAGATTGGCCATGTGGGTTTTTAATCGACTGACAAATGATTTGCAAGGAACTCGTGGGGTGTCGAGGCTAATGATGTCAGCTGGTAATTTTAACAGGGTACCATATAACAGTTCGGCTACTGTTGTGCCTATATCGGCTTTTATTTGCTGAACGAATTCCCAGGAGGACTACTGGAAGGGCATCTGTCCATTTGGAGGATTCATGTGAAATTAGCAATGCCTTAAGGTGTCTATGTAATTGTTCTATTAAACCGTTTGATCGGGGATGGTATGCTGCTGAATGGATGCAATTGGTGCCGAGAAGTCTGGTCAGTTCTCGGAAGAGGTTTGATTCGAATTGACGTCCTTGATCAGTGGTGATGGTAGTAGGGCATCCGAATCTTGTGATCCAACCTGAGAAAAAGGCTCGGCATACCATCTCAGCAGATATGTTGGCAATTGGGATGACCTCTGGCCATCTGGTAAAACGGTCGATCACTGTAAGGCAGTAGTGTTTCCCGTCAGCTGACGGAAGTGGTCCTATCAGGTCCATGTGAAGATGGGAAAATCTTGCTTCTGGAAGTGTAAACTTCCCTATTGGTGTCCAGGTGTGGCGGTGAATTTTCGATTTCTGGCAGGGGATGCAATGTTGTGTCCACTGACGGATGTCCTTCCGCATGCCCAGCCAAACATAATGGCTTGAAATTAGCTTAGTGGTTGCTGTTGCTCCTGGATGAGAAAGTCCATGTAGGTGATCGAATATGACTCATCGGAAATTATGCAGCACGAAGGGGCGAGGTATTTCAGATGATGTGTCACAGCATAGGTCGATTTTGTTAGGTGGAAAGGATTTCAGCTCTAATTTGAGCTACATAGGATCCTTTAACAATTGATGAAGTTCCAAATCTGTAGCTTGCGATGTGGCTAGCTCTCGGAAGTCTAGAGGGGAAGCGGAGGTGATAGAATCTATCTCGATGCGGGAGAGAGCCTCTGCTATTGTGTTGGCTGTGCCCGGAATATGACGTATGTCCGTAGAGAATTGGGATATAAAATCGAGATGCTGCATTTGTCGTGGTGAACATTTATCTGGTTTTTGTTTGAAGGCGTATATAAGCGGTTTTTGATCCGTGTAGATCGTGAATTCACGGCCTTCTAACATGTGGTGAAAACGTTTTATTGATGTATATATTGCCAATAGTTCTCTGTCGTAAGCTGACCAGTTGCATTGATTTGGTGCCAGTTTTGCTGAGATAAAAGTGATGGGTTCCCATTTCCTGTTTTATTGCATCAGTGCTCCTCCAACTGCTGCATCTGACGCATCTACCCATATGCATAGTTTAGCTCCGGGTATTGGATGGTTGAGAAGTGTGGCTTTGACCAGTGCTTCCTTAGCTGATATAAAGGATTGTTCTGCCACTTCTGACCATTGCAGAGATTGTGATTCTGCTTTCCGAGTGAGTGACGTACGTTTCTCGTTCTTTTTTCCTTCTAGTAGCTGCACTAGCGGGGCAAAGATGTGTGCCGCTTGAGGGATGCATCTCCTGTAGAAATTTATTATATCTAAGAATCGTCTAAGTTGAATGAGAGACGAAGGTTTGGGAAATTCTCGGATGGCTCTGATTCTATCAGGGAGTGATTCCAGACCCTTTTCCGAGACCTTGAATCCGAGAAATTCAATTGATGGTACGCCGAAGGTACATTTTGATGGATTTATGGTCAACCCATATTCCTTGAGACATTGGAATAAGGCGCTAAGATGCGAGATGTGTTCTTTCTGGGAGCGTGATGCTATTAGTATGTCATCGACGAAATCATATGTGAAGGAGAGTCCTCTGGTTACTTTGTCGATGAACCGTTGAAATGTTGCGGATGCATTGCACAATCCGAATTGCATTCTGGTACTCTCGAAAAGACCAAATGGTGTCGTTATAGCTGTTTTGTGCATGTGCGGTGGGTAGATGGGTATCTGATGATAGGACTTGATTAAGTCTATGTGAGAGAAGATTTGTGTTCCGTGCAGTTCCGATGTGAAATCTGCGATGTTTGGAACGCCGTATCTGTCCTTTATGGTTTGTGCGTTTAGAGCACGATAATCTCCCATGGGTCGCCAATCCGAACTGTTTTTCTTGGTGACCATGTGGAATGGTGATGCGTAATTGCTTTTTGATGTTCACATATGGCTGAGAGCTATCATCTTATCAAATTCGGCCTTAGCGATTTTAAGTCTATCGCGTGCTAGGCGACGTGGTTTCGCAGTTACGGACGGACCAATCGTTTCTATATGATGTACTACGTTGTGTTTTACGGGTTTATTAGGATGTGGTCTGGTGATCTCAGGAAATTCTTCCAATATCTTATGATATACGGAGTCGTTGGTCGTTATTTTAATAGAGTGGATGAAGGTTTCTAATAATTTGCCAGGAGAGTTCACCTTTGTCTGAACGTCTGTGAGACATTTGCGTTTAAGATTCGGTACCAAATGGAAATGATACAAGAAATCTGCACCTATTATTGCCGTTGACACGTTGCCAATAAGGAATTTCCAGCGAAAAATTTTCTTTAACCCAAAATCGAGAGTGAGTGTTCGTTGGTCATAGACATGAATTGCAGTTGTGCTTGCTGCCATCAAGGTCATTTGAGATGCGCGCTTCTTTTGAGACGAGGAGACTGGAAATATTGATACGTTGGAACCTGTGTTGACGAGAAAGTTTATGTTCGTTTTCTTGTCTAGGATGAACAGGTGACGAGATTGTTCCGGCAAAGTGCATGTTGCCTCTACACTTCGCCGCTCTCGTTTGTTGGTAAAACTACACAGAGGAGTACATTTTTGTGCCTTTGCGCCAAAATGGTTGTGGTACCAGCAGTATTTGTTGATACTGCGGTGAGTTGAATTGTTGCGATGTCCTGAATTGCTGCAGGAGCGTCGAGAAAAATGGTCACTGCGATCCAGACGTGCCTGCATTAGTTGATCCATTCGCTTGTTAAGTTTATCTATTTCGACTAGTATTTTGCTGCTTATGGTATCGGGTTTCTCAGGTTGCGATACTGAAGCTATCGTTGCGGGGGTTACTTCCACCACATGGTCCGCTACCTCCACTGCTTTGTCTATGTCGAGTGGGGTAATGGCGGCTAGGATAGATTCGACGGAAGTCAGAAGGTGTTGTATGAATAATTCTAGTATAACTGCGTCCGGGATTTGAAAATTTTCTGCCCAACGCTTTAGAACACGTAGTAGTTTGGAGGGTTTGTGATCTCCTAGCTGTTCTCCGGCCAATAGTTTTCGTAACTCCTGTTGAGATGATCGTTTAATAAGTTCCACCTTTATGTGACCGTATGGGTCTGTACAGTCCGGAGAAATAATAATGTCTCTAACCATTGATGCGACTTCCGGTGGTAAATGGGTCACTACATAGTTGAACTTTGTGGTACTTTCCGTGATCGGCTTTGGAGATCCTAGCGCAAATGTGCTTTCGCACATGTGGAACCATAAGGCTGGGTCGGAAAAGTTGTATGGAGGGATTTTTACCGCTCCAATCTTGGCCATAATCTGACGACTGAGGTCTTGAGAAAAGGTGGTAAACGACGTACTTGATGAACGTTCCAATGGTAGTTTTTAGTCGAATTATGTTCTTAGTCTGGCTCACCAATGTGGTTTTTGGGTTGTTGTTGCTTTTATCTTTTGTCGCTGTGGGTGAAAGAAACAAACGAGACGAGATCATAACAAAAACTAAACTTTTATTGTCCTTCTTGCGTACTTGGTACAGCACATGTCTCGACGATGCTAACAAAGACAACTGGTGGTCGACGGTCTTTGTGGCGTGAGTTCGAATTTATTCCAGGAAGTGATGACTCATACACCCGGGGGTAATTGCTTGTATTTTACAACCGTTAAGGGTACAGATGTGAAGGGTGGCGTTCGCCACAGTACAATGGGAAACATTCCCCAAGAATGAAAAATCCCATCAGTGATCTCATGCTGATGATAGATGAAGAGGAAGTGCTTAGAGTGAGAACAAAAATTGTTGAGAGGAAGGACAAATTTTCCTTCATATTTCTTATTTTAATCCCTTCCAAACACCATGTTGTTTCTTGTTTGATAATGGATTACCATCTCAACTTTTGTCATGCATGGGTTCAGACACTAAGTTTAGAGAAGAGTACTGGATATTGAAGTCTAGACACACCATTAAAAGTGTAATGTCAAAATGTGTTAGATGTAAACAATATTCAGTAAAGGCTCAGTTGACTATACCCAGGGGTGGATCTAAATGGGTGCCTAGGGCTTAAACCCTATTAATCCCTAAGTGTCAAAGGCCCACAAAAATTGAATTATGATCATAAATTTTTAATACTTTTTCATCAACAATGAGCATTTACCATATAGTAAAAACTAGTTAATATTAAGAATATAATAATAATGATAATTTATAGTACAAGTAGTACAGTAGACCCCCCTATAATGCGGTAGATATGTTCCGCTTTATAAGAATTTCGCGTTGTAGGAATCCTTAAATACATGAGCCAATCACAACCCGACACGTGTGAAGTTTACAGACTACGGCTGTTTGAAAGGTTTTCTTCCATAAAATTAATCGATTCTAGACTAATTCGACTCAACATTTCCAAAATACGTATATTTTTTT